GGGACTCGATCCCGGGACTCCAGGATCATGACCTGAGCCGAAGGCAGTCGCTTAACCAACTGAGCCACCCAGGCGCCCAAGATTGGCATTGTTTTTAATTACTTTTGGTAGCTGGATTATATTTGATGCAAAATCACACTGAGATTGGACCACACGGGACTCCAGGACTTATTTGGGTTACATAAGGGTAGCCAAGATTCGTTCAAACCAAATTGGACTTTTTTTTTTTTTTTTTACATATAAAACACTTATAATAAAATTTCAAAAACCGAACACTTAAAAAAAAAAACACCTGTATTGTACCTATGCCTTAAAGGGCTTTTTCTGTATGCTGGACTTAATGCAGCATCTGAAAATAGGAGTCCAATGACCTCTCCATTGTCCTGGTGAATTTCCCTGAAACAAATAGAGTTTTTGCTGCTCTAGAGACTTTTGAAAAACAGTTATTTATTTTAACCTGACACATGTATTATATTATGACTTAGACCAAATTGGGTTTTATCGTTAATAGGCATGTTCTCCCTAGGGTATGGTGAGTCTGAAAGTGGCCTGAGCACTCAAGGGAAGCATGCTGCCTCTCCCATGCCATCTGCACTCCATGAATTGGAGCAGCAGTCCAGCAGTGACCAGCCTTCCTGGACTTTGTGTCTCCTACAGGTGGACGCAGTCATGGTGGAGCGGAGTCTGAGCCACGTGGCAGATTGACTGATTGGCAGCTACAACCTTGGGGGGATTTCCAGTGGCGAGCGGCGCCGGGTCTCCATCGCAGCCCAGCTCCTCCAGGATCCCAGTAAGTGGGTCCCAGAACTGCTACCTGGGCATCTTCCATGTGTCTGCAGACATTTTCCGTCCTTTTTTTTTTTTTACAGTCTCCATTTGGAAAGGGGTTTGTGTGGAACTGACATTACTGAGGTTTTTCAAACTGGGGACCCAGTTTCTTTGGAAATACTACATAGTTCCTGATGCTTTTCTCTCCAAGTACAAAACAGCTCTTGGACTTGGAAACACTGCATTGTGGGGGCTATGGAAAGCCAATGAGTTTTGGTGTGCCTAGAACTTTAAGAAATGGCAGGAATTAAAGCAGGACTTTGAATGATACACAAAAAAGTGTGTATTTTGGAGGGAGGAGCTATCAAGATGGGGTAGCCAGTCACCTGCCTCTCCTGCCGGGTTTGGTCGTTCTCCCCACCACTGGGGAAATCTCAGCTCTTACAAGCACCTGGAAAAGAACGTGCTGCACCTGGATTCCCCACTGGGGCACACTACGACGGCCTGCTCTTCAGATGGTGGTTGGTCACTAGAAGGCAAGAGAGATGCTCTTAAGAGCCCTTCTCACCTTCTGGGTAGAAATAACCACAGTTGAACCCTCTAAAGAATCTAAATGCCTATCCCAGCTCAGACTGTTTTATGGGACAGAGTTTTTTGCCGTGCAAAGACCCTGTTAGTGTTGGAAAATGCTCCACATGAAGTGAGGTTATGTCTTTTTAACCAGCCTCTTCTCAGCCTTTTGAAAACAACTTGGTGCCCACTAGCCAGCCCTTGTTCTTTGTCATGGTCCTCTGGGCAGAGCCCAAACAGTCCATAGTATCTTGTAGCAGCCCTCTCCCCTCAAGGATTAAGGCCAAGATGTGGTCTGGAACTGGGAGGTGGGTCCTCTGAGGTCAGGCTCCTTCGCTTGGGCTCCGGCTGAAAGCCAGTTTACATGCAGGTACTTCTCACGGTGCACTGTTTGGATAGGGCAAGATGGGATGGGTTAAGACATCTCCATAAGGAACTGTTCAAAATTCTGAGTTTAGAGTCCGTAGCCCAGTCTTGTCAGTGACTCAGAAACCCGACCCTTCCTTGCCTGCAGAGGTCATGCTGTTTGATGAGCCTACCACAGGCCTGGACTGCATGACAGCAAATCAGATCGTTGTCCTCCTGGCAGAGCTGGCTCACAGGGACCGCGTTGTGATTGTCACCATCCATCAGCCACGCTCCGAGCTCTTCCAGGTGAGGGGGAATCTTGTTCCTGCTTAACTCGTCAAGGGTGGGTAGATGTATGTGTTGAGCTGGGGATCGTGCGGTAGAGATTAGTACTTGTCAACCAGGGCCCTTGGGGCCAATAGGTCCTGATATGGGAAGGGCACCTGCCATGTACCAAATACTTTCTATGCACTAGTTCATTTAGTCCACACGACAATCCTATGAGGTGGGTATCAGTATTGTCACTTTACAGAAAAGAGGGAGACTTAGAAATGATGCAAAATTGAGTCAAGGATCTGAGATTAAATAAACATCTAGTCCAAGGTCATTCACTCAGGAGCATGGCTGGTCCTTGATCAAACCCAGGACCACAGGCCAGGTCCAGGAGTTCTTTTCCACTCCAGATGTGATGCTGGGCCCAGGCCAGATGCAGCACGATGCACACTGGCAACGCAGGCTAAGAAAAATAGGGACATGCTCTGTGTGTCTCCAGTGGCCACAGTAAGAATCCTGATGCATGGCTGGGATCAACAGGGACTGACGGCTTGGAAATTTATTCTCCAGAGGATATGGTGACCTGATACACACTAATGCCATCGATTTTCTCATCAGCTCTTTGATAAAATTGCCATTCTGAGCTACGGAGAGCTGGTTTTCTGTGGAACACGAGCGGAAATGCTTGATTTCTTCAGTGGCTGCAGTTACCCTTGTCCCGAACATTCAAACCCTTTTGACATTTATAGTAAGTTTTTTTTCCCACATTTCCCATCATGAATGTTCATTCAATTTTATCATCTCAGATTTCTGCCTAGATGTCAACAGCACTAGTGGATTTTATTCTTGCTTTTGTTTTGGTGATTTCACTCTTTAAGGAGTTAATTTGGCCGGGTCAGTTAACTTGCCATAGATGACCTATCAGAATGAGGTGGGGGACCTCTCTTAAATTGCTGCATGTCCACTTTGTCAGAGAAAAATCAGCTGAGTTTCTAAATCCTCCCAGACAGCCCCAGTTGAATTCTCAAGGCCTTGCTGGTAGCTTTAAAATATTCTGATTTTATAGGTGGGCATGATCACCAGGTGTTACTCTGATGGCATGAGGCATTAGCTAGTACTCCTGAATCAATGATGAAACATGTATTATTAGCCATTGTGCATATATATGCATTTAAAAACACATGGGTCATTTCTTTGGGGAAAAAAAATTAGTGGACCTGATATCAGTGGATACCCAAAGCAAAGAACGGGAAATAGAAACCTACAAGAGAGTTCAGATGATTGAATCTGCCTACAAAGAATCAGCAATTTATCGCAAAACCTTGGGAGAATATTGAAAGAACAAAACACCTGAAAACATTACCAATGGTTCCTTTCAAAACCAAAGATTCTCCTGGAGCTCTCTCTAAACTAGGTGTTCTCTTAAGGTAAGAGCTTCACCCCGTTTTAGGTGGTTAGACATCCACCAATAAAAGAAAAAGAATTAAAACAGGGTTGTTTGGCTTTCAGGAGAGTGACAAGGAACTTAATGAGAAATAAGCTGGCGGTGATGATGCGTCTCGTTCAGAATCTGATCATGGGTTTGTTCCTCATCTTCTGTCTTCTGTGGGTCCAGAACGATGTGCTGAAGGGTGCTGTCCAGGACTGCGTGGGGCTCCTATACCAGCTTGTGGGTGCCACCCCATACACAGGCATGCTCAACGCTGTGAATCTGTGTGAGTGCCCATGCCCAGGAGGTGCACCCCGGGGGCGGGGAGGGCACTTCCTCTCTTCCTGATTATCTCCCTTCTCCAGCCGGCATCTTGCAAGACTCCATCATTATAAGACTACTTTGCTGAGCTAAACTTGGCCTTCTCCAGATTCTCTCCCTGGGGAAGGGTTAACTACTGAGTTACTAACATCTTAGTGTGAATTAGTTCACCAAGTAGATCTCCCTGAGGGTCTAAGGATCCAGGGAAACATGGACTTAGGAGCTGCTGATGGGGCAGGGTTTGGGAAGGGTTTTTTAAAAGATCATTCTTGGTATTCCTATCTTCGCCATTAGGATGTGCAGCCCCTGGGGGCCCAGATACCTGCCAACTTTGCACTATTCTTTTTGGAGCCAATTTTAGGACAGCTAGCACCTAATTTTCAAACTCTGTGAGAATCCAGAAGCAATACCTAGTTGCCTGATGTTCTGTGCCAAGACCCTGCACAAAAAGAGGACAAACTACCTCACATCATTCATGGCCCTTTTGCACATGTGTTCTTTAATTTGTGACAACGCTCCCCTGACTTTAGAGAGGAGGAAATAAATTTTGACAGCTTTTGCAACCATACTGTAATTCAGATAAAGAGTTCTGTGGTGGGAAGTATTTACAGTTCTATGGATAGCAGGTTCCCTCTTTCCATGACTAGGGAGCCCCAGCTGGTCCCCACCACCCAGCCCTGACAGAACTCAAGTTCAGTTTGGGCTAGCCCTCCTTCCCTTAGCTGTGTGGTGACCGGCTATTCTGAAACCTGCCTCTGTGCCCGGTTCTCAGCGACCAGGAGAGCCAAGACACCTTACACCAGAAGTGGCAGATGCTGCTGGCCCACGTGCTGCACGTGCTCCCCTTCACTGTCCTTGCCACCGTGATATTCAGCAGCGTGTGCTACTGGTAAGGGGGTGTTCAGAGGTGTTCAGTCCTCCTGGCAAGTTCCAGATGGCCAGTGGGACTGATGGAGGGGAGCTCCAGGGTGAACAACTCCCTCTTCTTGGCCCTCGAGGTCTGTCTTTGCCCATCAATGCCCAGTACAATGTCCTGTGCTTCCGGACAAATAAAAGAACCCAGCCAGGGCCACATGGGACCTGAGAGCAGACCCGCAGGACTACATGGTGCCAGGGACTGGCATGTCTCACATACTCTGCAGGGTCTGGGCAGGGAAGATTGCCCTGAAGTCGTTGGGATCCAGGTGCAGAGGCAGCAAGGAGCTGCCGAATCTCAATGAAGCATGGCTCCTGGGCTCCTGTCAGCTGGAGCGGCAACCCGCCTGTGACATCACGGGCTGGCGTGAGGGGGCTTGAGCAACGGGAGAGGGGCTGCGGGAAGAGGCACTGGGGCACCACGAAGCATCCCTGATGCTCTTAGGTTTTGAGCGATGGTGTATAGACAGTGCTGCTTTTTGTTTCTTAGAGCTTTTCAAAAATATAAATCCGAAAACATGTACTTATCTGCATGATCTGTCATCATAGGGAGATGTAGCTTCCCTAATTCCCATGGCTTTCCCCTAAGATGGGGGTAGTACCTGGTATTCTGTGACTCTAGTAGTGCAGTGGTGCCCAGCTTGTCGTCCAAAGAGAACTTCAGGCAGTGCTTGGGATGCTGTCTTTCTTCAGGCCGTGGGATTCATGAGCAGGTGCTCCTGACATAGCCAGTATACAGACCCATGGTACATAATATGAATAATTATTATGAACTAAGTAATACATAAGTAAAAGACAAACCAGGGTTTAGTAAGTTTGAGCTCCCAGATGAAGAGTGGGAAGGTCTTGGTGTAGGTGATTAGAAGTTGGTATCATTCTGGAGAGTGACAGAGGCAGAACCACTTGCTCCGAGTAAGCAGGGGGGTGGGCTCCCCACTGAGGGCGATGGCAATCATCACCTATAAAGGTGGTGCTATAATCATCCTTGTTTGTAAAGGAGCAAACTGAAGTACAGATGGGCTAAGTATCTTCCCCATCTCACATCCATTATCCCAGTTAATTACAAAGGAGAACAAGAGCCCATTTGGTTGAGAGAACAACTTGAGAGATGAGCATCATTCCAGTGGATAGAAAAGGGAGCAAGGGCGTAAGTTCAGGAGCAAAAACACGTAAGACCTTTCCAGAGAAAAGGTTCAGTTGTGCTGTGGAAATGAAGGATTGGAAGCAGTAGTGAAGGATATGACTGGCCCCTCCAGTGGGGGAGGTGTGGAATGCCAGGCTAAGGGGCTGAAGTGTCCCTTAATGGGACATAGGAGGGGATTTTGAACCAGGGAGTGGCCCATCTGTGTTGGACTCTGGAGGGTGAGGCTGGCACACCTTGGCAGCAGACTGGAGTTAGGGCAGAGACAGCGGACAGCCTAGTGAGGAGCCTTGGCAACAGTCTATGGGAAAGGCAGAGGCCCAAACGGAGAGAGCAGCAGTGGCAACAAAAGGGGGTGATCACTTTGAAATGCTGGGAAAGTAGAATCGAATGGGCTCAGAAACTGAGGGGATTTGTTGGTCGTAAAGTCACGGATGATGCCTGAGTTTTCCACCTAAGGGAGTGGGATGGTGACAACATCATTATCAGGTTTGCCAGGAAAGAGAATGGATTTGAACACGTTGCATCTAGCATGCTACAGGACACCCGACTGGACATGTCAATCTGAGGTTTGAGTGGTGGGTTGCAGCAGAAAGAAAAAGAGTGAGGGGGCTAAAGGCCTGGGAATGGATTTTATAGGAGAGAGTATTGGAAGGGGAGGAAGCAGTCTGAGTGTAAACCTCAGGAGGCACATTCGGAGGGTGGGAAGAGGAAAGCGATCCAATGGCAGAAGCAGAGGTGGTGGTCAGACAGGGAGAAGGAGAAGCAGAACCAGGCAGCATCAGAGAAGCTGGGGGAGGAGAGCATTTCAAGGAGGTGTAGTTAATATCCATTCATATTGCAGAGCTTCACAGAGATGAGGCATCAGATTAGGAGGTCTTTGGCAGTCTTCCCAAAAGGAGCTTCAGTAGAGTGGTGGGGTGCAAGTCAGATTCAGAAGGGAACAAGTCAGGAGGGAGAGGGAAGAAGCAGATGCTGCTTGAGAAGCTTGGCGGTATAGGGTAGGGTGACGAGAAGGCAATGGCTCACATGGTTCTCAGGCTCAGGGAATGGATGTTTTAGGATATGGTAAATAAGACCGTCAGGAAAAACCATTAGATTGAGAGTTGATGAAACTATAGCAAAAGAGAATAATTCACAGATCAAGTTTCCAGGGTAGTGCAGGGTAGGGACAGGTGAATCAGGATAACATAAAATCAAGGAGCAAGTAGGTAGGATCCACTTGGCAAAGATAGGGGGAAAAGAGAGAGAGCGAGCGAGAGAATGAGCACAAGACATGGAAGATGAAAAGTTAGGGAAGATAAAGATAGCGAGAAATTCATAAAATGGGAAATGAATCCATCTACTGAGCACTGGGGAGAGTTTGACATTGGGGAGAGGGTCATTATTTTTTTTAAGATTTTTATTTATTTATTCATGAGAGACAGACAGAGGCAGAGGGAGAAGCAGGCTCCCAAGGAGCAGAGAGCCCGATTCGGGACTCGATCCCAGGACCCTGGGATCATGACCTGAGCCGAAGGCAGACGCTTAACCATCTGAGCCACCCAGGCGCCCCTGGGAGAGGGTAATTTAAAGTAGAGGTATATATTAGACATGAGGGACAGGCCATTGGAGCCCAATAAGCAATGAGAAAAAATTAGGGGTCTAGGAGTCAGGTGAGGCAGAGTGGATCTGATTAGTACAGTAATATGCTCTGTTCAGCACACCTTCAGGGAGAGAACTTAAGTGAAAGAACAGGGCTCCCAAGGTGTGGGGATTGGTAAAAGCAAGGAATAGCAGAAGGGGGTAAGGACCTGAGACAGCTTGGGGTTTGGGGAAATAGGAGACAGGAGGGACGCCATGATCAGAGAGAGCACTTTCAGAATCTGAAATCTTGGGAAAGAGGAAGAGTTCTGAGTAACATTTAAGTCCAAGATTTGGTGAATGATGCAGATTAGGTGGGTGGAGCCACTGGAAGTGATCAGGTTACCTAATTAGGAGGCACTGATGTTGATGACTGATCAGGAAGGTTAAAAAGACCTTGAGGATAATGATAGTGGACAGGAATGCTGACCATGGTCCAGATGCTCTAAAATCATCAAAGGTGAGAGAATGTCATAAAAGCCACAAAGGATTGCACTGGGAAAGAGAATTAATAGTACAAGCAAACTTCATGATTTGTATAAGAGGAAAGATAGATGGCCTTGGAGAGTGGTCAGGAGCTCTGCATAGAAGACATGCCAACTCCCTTTTCCTTACTCTACAAATGGAAGAAAGAGCAACCATGTCTAACGGTTGTTGAGGACATGCTATCACCAGGGAAGTGTATTTAGTGGAAGGAATATAAGAGTTAAGGGGCATGGATGTAGGGAGGTCTGTTTACAAGAAAATGAAGATCAAATCAATGGAAGGGGCTGGTAGAATAAAAGACAAGAATGGAATGGACAGACCTGGGAGGGCTAATTCACCAGAGGATGGCGGCAGTGAAGGGTTTACACGCTGGCAGCAACCCCACATAACGGGGATGGAGAAGCAGAGAAGCAGGCTGAGCGAGCCCTTAGCACGGGGGGAGTAGGCTAGCTAGGGTAGGGGCAGTGCCAGCTAGGCAGAACGTGGTCATTTATGGAGAAGCCTGGCGAGTTCAGCCACTCTACTAATTGCCCCGGTTGTGACCACTGTTCAAGCGTTAATATTTTTTTTAAATCTTTTTTCTTTTTAAAGATTTTATTTATTTGACAGAGACACAGCGAGAGAGAGAACACAAGCAGGGGGAGTGGGAGAGGGAGAAGCAGGCTTCCCGCCGAGCAGAGAGCCCATGCGGGGCTCGATCCCAGGACCCCGGGATCATGACCTGAGCCGAAGGCAGACGCTTAACGACTGAGCCATCTAGGCGCCCCAAGCGTTAATATTTTCCTCTGAGAACTGAAGGAACTGTAAAAGCGAAAAGGTGGCACACTAAATTGGAGCCAACAGAAACAATTTGTGCTAATGAATGGTCTCAAAGTTTGGCTCTGTTCCGAAAAGGCCTTTCAAAGGGGAGTTGGGCTTACCCTGCAAACTCTTCCCACCCACTGACCACCACGGATTTATTCATAGAAGGCACGTGTGGTATTCTTCTTAAATAATCCTTGGAGAGGAAACTAAAGACCTTATGTTTTTCTAGGACTCTGGGCTTATATCCTGAGGTTGCCAGATTTGGATATTTTCTCTGCTGCTCTCTTGGCCCCCCACTTAATTGGTGAATTTCTAACTCTTGTGCTACTTGGTATGGTCCAAAACCCAAATGTGGTCAACAGCATAGTGGCTCTGCTCTGCATTGCTGGGATACTTGTGGGATCTGGATTAGTAAGGTAAGATACGACAATTCAAAGGATTTTCATTGATGATTTGTGGTTAATGATCACTCGGTAACAAGAAATTAAGAGAGAAATTGCAGAGGAGAGCTATGTGATACTGGCTAAAGGTATGTATTACCTTATGGTCTGGAGTGTTTCTAGTGCTTGCTTATCATTATTTAGATCTGTTTACCATTTGTTCAGTAAAATGTCTTCACACTGAAAATCAGGAAATGACAATTTAGGCATGTTATTCATATGATTCACATGTAGTAACAAGAGGAGGAAAACCAATCCATCCTCTGGAAAAACAACCTATTATTACAAGGTAAATAGCATGCATTTAATTCATTCCTGCCCTGGCACTGTGGAGTGTCTCTATTCTGGTTCTCAATTCCCAGTTTTTTTTAGGAAGTAAGAACAGTCAGATAGCTTGCATGATAAAAGACTGACCAAGAAAATATCAGGACTGGAAGGACAACACACATTAAATGTTAACTGTAATTATCTATGGGTAATAATTGATTTTAATTTTTTCTTCATATTTTCCTTTGTTTTGTGAATTTTTATAATATAGCACTTTATAAGCAAGAAAAAACATATATATACACACACATACATATATTTTAAAAAAGCAGTAGCTGAAAGGGTGGAAAATTTTAGAAGGGTGACAGTGGTCGCAGGCAGGTGATGTGAGCGGGATCTAGAAGTACTCTGTGGGTCCCTGAGGAAATGTGAAGGTGGCTGGTTCTTTGATTTAAAAAAGCTCCAGAGCATCCGCTATATGTAATTATATTTATATATTTATTTAACTCTCAGAGCAATCCATGTTCGGGTAAGAAAACTCAGCTTGGATTTGACTTTGCTATAGTCAAGCCACCGTGAAGACCCAGGCCGCACGCAGCTCCCTGGAAAGAGGACTGACCCAGGAGTCAGAGACTTCCTCTACCACTTATCTGCCACATGACCAGAGGCAAATCACTTTTCTATCTAAATTAATTTCCTCATTTATAAAATGGAGCTCGTGATCTCAGCCCCACCTGCCTCAAGGGAACAGGAGAAGCAAAGGAGATAATCAACAGGAAAGCACTTCATAAGCTGTAGTGAGTTATATAAGGGTGAAATATTATAAAGCAAAGTGAGCTGGTTTTGATCAGTTAAGGAGGACTATGTTTATGACGCCGTTATTACATTGTATTTGTGTTGCTTAAGTGATTGTTAGCATCTATAAAAAAGCACAAATCAAATCAAGCCAGCAAGGTACAGATCCAGCGTTGGGCGGGATCTCCTCTTGAATGTTTGAATCATTACCTGTTCCAGTCAGTCTGGCACTATTTTGTATATTTGGTTTGTAGAAAAAGGGGATTCATTGTTCTGAAAAGAGAGGCAGTGGCCTGCATTACCAAAGGCTCCTGGGTTTTTTGCAAAACCTCAACATCCAGGCTTCACCTGGATTCCACTCCCATCACTGAATTGAAACTCTTCTCTTCAGGGGCCAGCCACATCAACCTCCCAGTCATAAATTTCACATTCTTCCCTCAAGTCATCGCCTTTCCTGACTGCCTGCCTGCAACATTTGCATTTTTGGCTGCCTCCTCCTTTAAACACAAATAGAAATAGCTCTGTCCTTTTTACTTTCAAAATAATGCAAGTTCTTTGGGGGAGAAACTGTACACAATACAGAAGTGTATAAGGAAGAAAGTAAAAGTTACTTAAGTCTCACAACCTTCAGTTAAATTTTGTTGTGTATCTTGCTAGACTCTAAATCTTTTTTTTTTTTTTAAGATTTTATTTATTGGGGCGCCTGGGTGGCTCAGTTGGTTAAGCGACTGCCTTCGGCTCAGGTCATGATCCTGGGGTCCCGGGATCGAGTCCTACATCGGGCTCCCTGCTCGGCAGGGAGTCTGCTTCTCCCTCTGACCCTCCTTCCTCTCATGCTCTCTGTCTCTCATTCTCTCTCTCTCGACTAACAGCCAGCTATCTCTCTCTCTTTTTAAAGATGTTATTTATATTTGAGAAAGAGAGTACACACGCATGAGAGGGGTGGGCAGAGGGCGAAGCAGACTCCCTGCTATGAGCAGGGAGCCCGATGTAGGGCTCCATCCCAGGACTCTGGAATCATGAACTGAGCCGAAGGCAGACGCTTAACCAACTGAGCCACCCAGGCACCCTCATTCCAGTTTTAATTTGCAGTTCCCTAAGGCTTAGTGATGGTGATTTATGTGCTTATTGGCTATTCATATATCTTCTTTGGAGAAATGTCTAAGTCCTTTGCCCAATCTTGAATTGAGTTCATTGGTTTTTTGTTGTTGAATTTTAGAAGCTCTCTGTATATTCTGGATATTAATCCGTTATCAGATATGTGATTTGCAAATATTTCCGCATCCTGTGGGTTGCCTTTTTACACTGGGGATAGTGTCTTTTTTTAAAAAGTTTATTTAAGTAATCTCTACACCCAGTGTGGGGCTCAAACTCATGACCCCAAGATCAGGAGTCACACGCTCCTCCAACTGAGCCAGCCAGGCATCCCTGGGGATAGTTTCTTTTGAGGCACAAAATTTTAAAACTTTCAATTTGTCTATTTTTTCTCTTGTTACCTGTATCTTTGGTGTCATATTCTAGGGCTTTAACTATTTCTATGTCTAATTTTGCATCTTATTCTGACCTTTTATTTTCTACTGATTATACATATTAGTTTCTTGTGTCCTTTTTTTCCTTGTATTCTTTTTTTGAATGAACTTTTTTACTCTGCTAGTCCTTTCATTAATGAGTTGAGTAAACAAATTTCTATGTAAAAAGTATCCCAGAACTAAGTGGCTTAAAACAATAAAAATTATTATTCTCTCTCAGGGTTTCTATGAGTCAGAAATTTGGAAGTGACTGTTGGGTAGTTCTGTCGGGGGTTCTCATGAGGTTGTAGTCCGAAGTCTGCTGGGCTGCAGTCATCTGAAGGCTTGAGCAGGGCTAGAAAATCTTCTTCCAGGGAGGCTCCCTTGCATGCTGGCTAGCAGGTTGGTGCTTGCTGTTGCTCAGTGAGAATGTGTCACATGAGAAGCAGAAGGCCCAAGAGAGAACCCTGAATGTCACCCAGAGGAGGCTGGGAAGGAGCAGCCAGACGAGCAGGATTAAACCAAGAGGATGAAGTAGCATCAAAGCCAGGGGATGGAGATTTACAGAGAAAGGCAAGCAGTAGTATAAAGGCCGCTGAGAGGTCGGCACACAGGAAGGTGCCCACCAGATATGGCAACAAGGAAGCAACCTTGATGACCTCAGGGAGGTCAGTTTTGATGTTGTGATGTGATCCAGGCTCCAGGATATTTGTAGCTTTTGTCAGAGTGGAGATTGGATCCCAGAAACGGAAGGCAAGGTTAGAACCACGTAAAAGGCCTAGGATCATGACTGGGAAATTTCAGAACATGTTTTGAAAGACAACTCAAATGATGTCACCTTTCATTCCCCACCCCCCATTTCGTTTCTTTACAGTCCCTTTCCTCTCTTCCCACCCTGACCTCTATTGAAGATGCCGGAGCTAACTCTGAGCTTGGTCAGCCATGGGTTAGATAAGAATACAACTGCTATAGGAGCTTGGCTTATTCATCTTTGTACCCCTCATGGCAACAGGCAGTTTCTTTATAATATTTGAACAAAAGATCTTCTCTTTGGTTTTGCACAAGTCATCATATCCTTGGTAGAATTCTCTTGCTATCTTTTCAGACAGTTCAGAACCTTCTGCTTATTTCCTCTGTTAATCTAACCTCTTAGGAGCCTGGTGATGCTGGTTCCTGTCTCCGTTGACTCTCTGGGCTCATGTAGGTTTATGTCCACTATGAGCAGAAGGGGCTGGCTGGTGCTTTATCCTAATGGTATCACCTAACTTCTAACCAGAGAAAAACCAAACCAGGGGAAAGCTCTTAGCAACAACCAGCTGGGTCATGCCCAAGGCTCTCAGTGCAGGCTGAGGCCAACTTGATTTTACTAAAGGACTTGTGAGGCTAGTGCTTCTCAGACTCTGATATGCATGGGAATTACCTAGGGATCTTGGTAGCAGAATGTGATTCAGGGGGCCAGGGCCTGAGATATTCTGCATTTCTAGCAAGTGCTCAGGTGATGTTGCTGGTCTTCAGATCACACTTCATATCAAGGCTCTAGATAGTGTCCCCTACTTTGAGGAACCACCAGATGACCCCTGGGTGGGTGGGGGGGGTTCAGAAAGAAATTCAGATGTCCTAGATCCAAACTGCCTAGGTTTTCTTTTTATTCTGATCCTGTATTTTCTTTTTCAACTCAAAACAGCTGTAAAAGCCCATAAACAGGCAGACAAAGCCCCTCCAGCCCTGACTGGGATGAAAGAAATGGCTTGTCCCTCTATGACTCAGGAGACAAGCTGGAAAGACTCACTGGTACCGTGAGAGTCTGACCCAGGGCGCTATGGAGAGAGCAAGTCGGTGCTAGACCAAGGGTACACCGAGGGTCTGGGGACAGCCCAGCAATGCCTCATGGAAGGAGTCCTCTCGGGCCTTGTTTTGTTGTCTCACAGGCTTGGGGAAAACCACGCTGCTGGATGCCATGTCCGGGAGGCTGCGGCGCACGGGGACCTTCCTCGGGGAGGTGGTTGTGAACGGCCGGCCACTGCGCAGGGAGCAGTTCCAGGACTGCTTCTCCTATGTCCAGCAGGTGGGCACTTCCCGGGCCCCTGCCCCAGCCGCCCACGGCCTGGTCTCAGCCTGGTCACACTGATGCCTCCCGCCTCCCTCTCCCGCAGAGCGACACACTGCTGAGCAAGCTGACTGTGCATGAGACACTGCGCTTCACGGCACTGCTGGCTGGGCGTCTTCCAGAGGAAGGTGGGTAGCCATGGGCCTCCTGCGGCCCTGTTCCTCAGGGGGCCACCTGGCAGGGGCTTCGCACCTCCCTTCCCTCCGCTTGCCCATTCCCCCTTCATTCCTCATCCCTTTAGTCTAGACCTGTGCTGTCCAGTACGGCAGCCACTGGTCACCTGTGGCTTTGAGCACTTGACACGTGGCCAGGCCTAACTGAGATGTGCTATGAATGGGAAATGCAGAATTTTAGAAACTTAGTCTGAAAACACAGAATGTATAGTATCTTATTAATTTTTAAAATATTGGTTACAAGTTGAAATAGTAGTGTTTTGGCTGCACTGGGTTAAATATGTTAAAATTAATTAAACTTGTTTCTAAAATGTGGCTTACATTATATTTCTACTGGATGGCGCTGGTTTAGGGACTGTTTTTGAATAAAAATGGTTGTTTTCCTCACTGTACTTTGCCCTGTTGAGACTTTTCTCAACTTCCTTTGAGGCATTTTGAATGTGCCTCATCCAAACTAGATTAAGTTAATGAAGGAAGGAATTATTGACTTGTCTACTCTTTCGAGGTTTCAATCTATTCCTTTAAATGTATCTAATTTGGAAGTAGTCATAGGTAAGCCCATGGGGACCTTACCTGGAAATGTTGCCTCATTTCTGTCTGGACTGGAAACAGGGAACTAAGGATACATAGATGTGCCACCTACAAAGCAGGTACAGTTCCCTGGGAAATAGGCCCTCAGAGCCACCAGAAGAGACCGGCAACATCTGCCTCAGAGGCTTCAGCAAAGCCACAGTGAGGTTCCACCTGGGCACGCAAATTATATCTGCAGCTCAGGCTCCAGGGCTGGCCTTCTTTAATGCCATTGAGGCTCCAAGGAAATCCTCCATATCAGCTGAGGGTACACCATTTTTATCAGGCATTGCTGAGTCTGTCACCAGGACTTGCTCAATCTGTCCCTGGCATTGGACTTTTCAGACAGGGCTTGGAGAGTGAAATTAGGTCTAAGCTGTGTCCCAAGTACCAGAAGATTTGTTTGATGATAATGTCCAGGTGAGTAAAGGTCATTCTTCTGTTTGAGAGTCCTAGACAGTGCTGAAGGATAGCTTTTACTCCAGAGGAGTCTTAGCAAGGAGCGTGGCCCTCAAGAAGGGCCATCAGCCTCACAGTGATGCCTAGCACTCTTTCCTTCCTGGAGGTTACCTTAGAGTGCTCAGAAGGCATTGCAAGGCTGTTACTATGCAACTGGGTTATACAGGCATACCTCGGAGATCCTACAGGTTTGGTTCCAGACCACTGCAATAAAGCAAATATCAAAATAAACAGAGTTAAATGAGTTTTTTGGTTTTCCAGTGCATATGTTATGTTTACACTAATACTCCAGTCTTTTAGGTGTACAGTAGCATTATGTCTAAAAAAAAAAACCAACATACTTATCTTAATTTAAAAATACTTTACTGACACAGACACGAAGTGAGCAAATGCTGTTGGGAAAATGGTGCGAGTAGACTTGCTTGACACAGGGTTGCCACAGACCATCAGTTTGTAGAAAATGCTCTGTGAAGTGCAGTAAAGTGAAGTGCAATGAAACAAGGTGTGCCTGTACTCTGAACTCTCATAGCCGGCTGGCATCAGTCAGGCTTTGTTCACACACAGTATTTCGCCGCATCCTTGGCATCATCCCTATGTAGGAGGCTTTATCTTCTGACACACAAGATTAAGATCAGACAGTTGGGAAGGGCAGAGCTGGAATGTGAACCCAGGCCCTCTAGCACCATCATGACTCCCTGGGCTCCTGGGATCTCCTGAGCCCCATTGTGATGAGAGAAGATGGAGGTCAAGGTCAGCCCACACTGAGCACAGGCATGTTCACACGACTGGGTAGCCCTGATGGTGAGTGACAGAGGAGTCCATCTGCAGACTCTCTCTGCTTGCTTTAGTATTTCTGTCTCTAAAAAGGGCAGGAGAAGATCCTATTGGTATTTGGGTGGCAGAAATGTGGTCATAAACAGATTTTTCTGAGTTGGTGATCCACTTATATCACATATCCCACTGAGAGAATAAACCTAAGAAAGCCACCGAGCTCTTCCCCACAAAATGCACATGTTTGCATAAATATTCAGAAAATTCATGGATGCCTTGAAATCGATTGATGGCAAAAATTTTCCCCCTGGAGGCGTCTGGGTGGCTCAGTCCATTAAGCGCCTGCCTTTGGCTCAGGTCATGATTCTGGGGTCCTAGGATAGAGTCCCACATCGGGCTCCCTGCTTCTGCCTCTCCCTCTGCCGCTCCCCCTGCTTGTGCTCTCTCTGTCAAATAAGTAAAACTTAAAAAAAAATTTTCCCTCTGGTAAATGTTCCTCTGGCACTGGCAGTCCCTAAAAGTCCTGCAAAAGTTCTCCCTGCTTGAAAGTACTTTCTGAGCGGGCGCCTGGGTGGCTCAGTCGTTAAGCGTCTGCCTGTGGCTCAGGTCATGATCCCAGGGTCCTGGGATCGAG